CTCTCAGTAAAGTAGTTCTTTCTAATATCTAATCTAAATCTCCCCTGCCCCAACTTCAGACCATTTCCTCTGGTCTTGTCGTTCGTCCTTTGGGAGAAGAGGCCAACACCTACCTCTCTCCACCCTCCTTTCAGGGAGCTGTAGAGGGCAATGAGGTCTCCCCTCAGCCTCCTCTTCTCCAAACTAAACATGCCCAGTTCCCTCAGCCTCTCCTCATAGGACTTGTTCTCCAGACCCCTCCCCAGCTTGGTGGCTCTCCTCTGGACACGCTCCAGCACCTCAATGTCCTTCCTGTAGTGAGGGGCCCAAAACTGAACACAGCCCTCGAGGTGAGGCCTCACCAGTGCCCAGTCCAGAGGCACGATGACTTCCCTACTCCTGCTGGCCACGCTATTCTTGATACGAGCCAGGATGCCATTGGCCTTCTTGGCCACCTGGGCACACTGCTGGCTCATGTTAAGCCTGCTGTCTACCAACACCCCCAGGTCCTTTTCTTCCGGGCAGCTTTCCAGCCACTCTCCCCCAAGTCTGTAGCGTTGCCTGGGGTTGTTGTGACCAAAATGCAGGACCCGGCACTTGGTCTTATTAAACCTCATCCCATTGGCCTTGGCCCATTGATCCAGCACCACCTATGCCATCCCCCTGCCCGTGATTGCAGCCACAGAAGCTCACAGAACACTGCAAACACACCAAGTGTGCAGCAACGCTTCCCAAAGCACCCTCCCTGCCCCCAAGAAGTCTTGTCCTGATCACAACACAAACGCAGTGTCTCTGGGTCATCCACCAAGCGAGTGCCCCACGACGACAGCCTCCCTGTGCCGCTCAGAGGTCACCTGCAGCTGAAGAGGTATCTCTGGATGCTCTGAAGCTGCAGACTGGAACCTTTGGGGAAAGCTGCATGGCAGCCCCTACAAAGGCTCAACTCCCTCGTCCCTCTGCAGGCAGCAGAAGGGAGGTCTGGAAGGTTGCTCACAAGCTGGCGAGCACTGCCTGCCCTGCTGCTCTCCCCTCTGTGGGCCAGGAGCTCTAAGTCCTGATGCCACCTCCCTGCCAGCATCACTTATGGCCTCAGACAGTCTGGCTTGGCCTTGCTTCCCTGCACCAGGCTACCTGCGATAGAAAACAGCAGGGAGGAGACTAGGGTCAGGATCAAAAAAACACTAAAGCTTACTGGAAAGCTGCTGTTGAAGCTGTCGAACCAGAGCAGCTGTTTGCTGCTGCTGCTGTGTCTGCTGAAGGCCCTGACGCTGGAACTGCAAAGAGAAAAAAGGCAGTTACAGCCACCCCAGGGGAGGGAGAAGGAGGGGGATGCAGGTAGAACACCCTTGGGTTCAAGCTGGACTATTCACACTCACGATGGGCTGCTGGGGGGGGAGAGCCTGCATCCCCAGCCCCGGGGGCTGGCCCTGCGCCTGTGGCTGAGGCACTGTGGAGACCTGGGGCTGCTGCTGCGGCTGGGGCTGCGGCGGCTGGGGCTGCTGCTGCTGCTGTTGCTGTTGTTGCTGCTGCTGTTGCTGCTGTTGTTGTTGTTGTTGCTGCTGCTGCGAAGACAAAAAGAGAAGGGACCATTCAGGGAACTGTCTGGGCAATACACACGGCAACAGAGCACAGGAAGGGCTGAAGGAGTAAGAAGTTGTGTGCAGTGACACACCCTCTTCCACTATTTTCCTTATAGGTACCTAAATTGCCCAAATTTCACTAGGACCCTGTCCCGGGCTGAGAATGGCAAGAAACACAGGGACAGTAACAAAGTTCTTCTGCAAGATGAGGAATCAGCAGGAAGAGAACTACGAGTCTGCTGGTCAGCCAGGGAATGACTAGGAGCAAACAAGAAGAGGAAACAACTAAGAGCTACCTCCAGGAGTCAGCTGGTTCATCTCTTGCCTCCTGGTTAAGATCAGCAATACTGAATTCACTGAGTATTTGCCTGACCTGTTCTCAAAATTTTTCCCCAGGTAGTAACAGCGCTCCTGTAACCTCCCTGGGCAATTCCCTCCAGCCCACAGTTACTCCTACTACTGGAGATTTCCCTAATCTCTACCCTGAATCTCATCCATTATGATTTACGGCCATTTCTTGTCCTACAGCCAAAGGATAAGAACAGATAAAGGGGTTTTTTTTGGAGACAAAAGAAAAAAAAAATGTGGAGACTTATCTCTCCTCTTGTCTCTGCCTCTCTAACTCAACACCCAGCTATTTCAGCCTTTCCCTCTCAGTCATGTTACCCAACTCTTCAATCTACCTTGCTGCCCTTCTCTGCCACTCATGCCAGCTGGTGTTGTGCTTCAGTAAAAGGATGCAGACAAAACTGGATGCAGTGCCCCAACCTAGACATTGACAGAACCACTTACAGCGAGAATATTCAGCATGTTGAACTTGGGAGGCAGGATACACCCACAAGTCTCAAGGGTTTTTCATTTCTCCTAATTTTCCAGACATTTCTCCCATCTGCTTTGCACTTTCTTGATCAACAGAAGAATTTCTGGTAGAAATATAAAGCTACTAACAAAACCCCAACATGGTGATGCTAGACACAATTCTGATCACCGGCTCAAAAGGGCAAGGTTCAAACCTTGGACAGACTCAGAAAATAGACAAAAATACAATCAGGAGTGTCTTACAAGAGGAGGTTAGAAAAACCTGACCTGCTGCAAGTGCTCCCTAGGAATACATTGGGTAAACATCACAGAGAAAGAAGAACCAGCGAACAACAGGAGACAGTGGACAATAATAACTGGATACAAGAACCAGTCACAAACACATGGATCAAGGATTCAATCCAAAGGGTGAGTTCCTAGAACAGCCTCCTAACTTCCATCTTAAACCAGTTTGGCCTTTTAGGTTCGTGAAATGGGTGCTATCTGGGTACACATGAAAGCAGGTTACTGACTACATGAGCAGAGATATCTCCCAATTTCATGTCCTACCTTCTTGTAACAGCTGACTACCGACCCATGCAAGACAAACCAAAGGGCCATCCATCTCTTCTACAAGCCAGTGCACCACGGCAGTCAACTGAAGCACCAGGAGTCTGTTCTACATCTGGTATGACTCCAACAACACAGCAGAAGTCACAGTAATAAAGAAGATTTTGGGCATTCCACTCTTTATTTTAAGCAACCAAGCAATGTCAGCTAAAAGCTGAAGGTATACACAAAGTTACTGAGCTAGGAGAAGTGCTAGCAATTTGTCTGAGGCATGTTCTTTTTCTAAATATGAGTGATGGAGAATGCTAAAAGAAACCAAGTGAGTAGTCAGGGGGTGCTACTCATCAAAAGGACTAAAAGCTGCTGACCACGCTACAGGCAGTCTCTTGTCCAGTGCAAGGCAGCAATTCTCAAATACTGCTGACTGCAGCTCTCTGAGGAACCAGGGTGTCGCTCAGGCCCCTCTCAGAACACAAAGCCTCAGCACTCTGTGCCATGTAAAGCCTCCCCACATCCTACAGGTTTGCTAGGCCTTGTCATAAGGTATGCGACGCACCGACCCACCCAAACCCTTCCTGTGTTTCTCTGGCCATTTTGTAACTCCAAGAAATGTATTCATATCAGTATTTAATATTCATAAGATCATAATGCAAATCCATGGAATCCTCATGTCTGTTGGCACATGCCTGTGAACTTCTTTGAACCCAGAGAACTGGGGCTAACAGCTTGCTTTGCCTCAGTTTTTCCCCATCCGCTGTTAGGTGTGGAGTACACGGACTGATTCACACCACATTCCCTGCCTCTGCAAACTGCACCCCATGCTTATTTTGATCTTGTGAAAACGCAGCTATGCCCCTAGAAATGACCTTGTAAGGAATAACCCTTCCCCTCTCTTGTGTGGCCAGGGGGATTTTCACTTTGTTTCTAGCTCCTACAACGTTTCTAAGACAGGTAGCTTTCTGCACATGGGCTCAGCTGGAGCAGGAAGAGGTGGGATGATGCCACAAAGGATTAACCAGACCTTTACTGCTTCTAACTCCCTTTAGTTCATGCTGGGTGACTGGAAAAAGGCAGCACAGCTGGTGTCTCCACCAGGAGTGGCCAGCTCTAAGGAGAGCCACTTCACAAATTATTACAGACAGCCCCCAACAGAGCTGACATCCTTCCTGGCACAGAGGGGCAGAGCAGAGGTAAGCGGCGCTGGGCAAGCCTCCTCCAGCTCCAGCAGCCTTCCTCTTGTTAGCAACCACTCACCCTCAGCATCTGCTGCTGCTGTTGCTGCTGCTGCCTCAGGTACTGCTGCTGCTGCTGGTCAGGCAATATCTGGCTGGGTCGAATTCCTGAGGGAACTCCTTGTGGACCCAAATGGTTCATCCCACTCATCATGGGGGTCTGCTGTATTGACTGGTGAGGAAATCTGTAAGAGAAAACAAGCCATCAACAAGACAGACAGCAGCCCAAAGAAGCCCTTGCAATCCTTGCTGCCTCTCTGCAGAAAGGTCAGGGACACCAGGCCTCTCAAGGGTTTCATCCAACCTGTTTTTCTAGGAGCCCTGAATAACAGCCCACTGTTCTGCATGGTTTCCCTGCTGGGTTTATGTCTGCTCAAGAGAAAGTCTACTCAAGTGGAAATCCCAGATCACAGAATAATAGAATAGTTTGGGTTGAAAGGGACCTTTAAAGGCCATCTAGTTCCAACCTCCCTGCCACGGGACACCTTCTACTAGACCAGGTTGCTCAGAGCCCCATCCAGCCTGGCTTTGAATGATTCCAGGCATGGGGTATCTACCACCTCTCCGGGCAACCTGGGCCGGGTCCTACCACCCTCAATGTAAAACATTTCTTCCTGATACCTAATCTAAATCTACCCTCTTTTAGTTTAGAACCATTACACCTTGTCCTGTCGCAACAGGCCCTGCTAAGAAGTTTGTCACCATCTTTCTTGTAAGTCCCCTTTAAGTACTGAAATAAGGTCTCCCTGGAGCTTTCTCCTCTCCAGGCTGAACTCTCTCAGCCTGTCCTCCCAGCAGAGGGGCTCCAACCCTCTGAGCATCTCCATGGCCTCCTCTGGCCCCACTCCAACAGGTCCATGCCCTTCTGATGGTGGCCCCAGAGCTGAAGGCAGCACTTGGTGGGGGGGGTCTCCCCAGAGCAGAGGGCAGCAGAGGGACAGAATCTCCCCCCTCACTCTGCTGGCCACGCAGCTGGGGATGCAGCCCAGGATGTGGGGGGCTTTCTGGGCTGTGAGCACACGTTGCCGGGTCACATCCAGCTTTTCATCCACCAGTACCCCCAAGACCTCCTCCTCAGCGGGGATGGTCTCCATCCCTTCATCAGCCAGGAAGGCCAATGGTATCTTGGGTTGCATAGGGAAGAGTGTGGCCAGCAGGTCAAGGGAAGTCATTCTCCCCCTCTACTCTGCACTGGGGAGGCCACAACTAGAGTACTGCGTCCAGTTCTGGGCTCCCCAGTTCAAGAGAGACAGGGAACTACTGGAAAGAGTCCAGCGAAGGGCAACAAAGATGATTCAAGGATTGGAGCATCTCCCTGATGAGGAGAGACTGAGAGAGCTGGGACTCTTGAGCCTGGAGAAGAGAAGGCTGAGGGGAGACCTTATCAACGCCTACAAGTATCTCAAGGGAGGGTTGAAGGAGGAGGGAGCCAGACTCTTTTCAGTGGTTCCCAGAGAGAGGACGAGGGGCAACGGGCACAAGTTGGAACATAAGAGATTCCACTCAAATATGAGGAGAAACTTCTTCACGGTGAGGGTGACAGAGCCCTGGAACAGGCTGCCCAGGGAGGGTGTGGAGTCCCCTTCTTTGGAGATTTTCAAGACCCGCCTGGATGCTCCTGAGTAACATGCTCTGACAAGCTCTAGGCAATCCTGCTTCAGCAGGGGAGTGGGACTAGATGATCTCTATGGTCCCTTCCAACTCTAAAATTCAGTGAAATTCAGTGAAATCCCCAGCCAGGGCTGATACCAGGGGTTGCCCTGACCCAGGTGCAGGACCTGCTGTTAGGGTTGTCTAAGCAGAGTGGGGAAGTTCCTGAAGAAATACAGCTTATGGGACGTACCTCTGTGTGTTGCCCAAAGTGTGCCCGTAGCCAGGGGCCTGCTGGTGTACGTAGCCGCTTGGTCTCTGCTGCATCTGTCTAACAGGATCCACCAGGGCAGGATTAGAGCTGGGGTGGGAATTCTGGTAGGGCTGGCCAGAATAGGTAGGAGGTACCATCGTGCCTGACTGGGAGGGGTGCTGCTGAAGGCCTATGTGGGAGACGTAAGGTGTGTAACCCTGAAATGAAACAGAAAGCCTTTATCAGAAATGGGGTAAGGTACAAAAAAAAGAATTTGGAACACAGGACATCAGCTTCCTGCAAATGCTATCACCAGGCTGCTCATCTCCGGGATTCAGATTCCTGCTGCCCACTAAACACGAACTGAGAAGAGTCAAGACATTTCAGGATTTGGCAGCAGGAAGGAAGGTGTTGCCCTGTGCTGGAGACAGATCCCAGTCTTACCTGCAGAAGGAAGGTGTTGCCCTGTGCTGGAGACAGATCCCAGTCTTACCTGTGGTCAGGTCCCTGCCTCTTACCTGTGAGGGCTGCAGTGCTCCGTAGGACGGGGTTGGAGCCATCTGGCGCACTGGCTGCTGTCCCATTATGCCTTGGCCCTGCTGGAAGGCAACAGAGAAACTCTGTTTTCAACATCTCCAAAGGGCTGGACGCTGCTGTTCTCTTCTCTGCAGCTCCCACTGAACCAGACAAGCAGTTTCACTGCTAAACCTACAAGGCTGCTGCACGGCAGGCATCCCCTAATGACTTCTGCCTCACTCCAACTCAGGACAAATCTGCCACTGACATCCCTACCACCCCACGGCCAGGACGTGCCCCTCTCACTGCCCAACAGCCACAGATGCCCCAGTGCACCCCACTGACAGCTTCCACCAATGTAGGCCCGCGAAGGGGAATAGAAACATCTTTCCAGGGCAGAAACAGAGAGAGGGTTGGAGAGTTCTGGCTCAGAGGGATAGCCCCAGCAAACAGCCTGGGCTTGCTGTCCCCAGCAACAGCGAGCGCACAGCTCCAACTTACCAACTTTGCTTGGAGCTGCTGCCTCAGGATCTGTCCCTGGGACACCGGGGGCTGCTGTCTGTACACTGCTGGCTTGTAGGAGGGGTCGATGCCCATCATGCTGCCCATCCCTGGGGGCAGCACACCGCTGTAGGGAGGACGGCTCTGAACAAGTTTCCCCAACGGCATGCGCACGGGTCTGTAGGATGTGTCCAGGCGAGGGCCACCTGCAAGGGGAAGAGAAACGTGCTGACTAGTGACAGGGTATTGCTGAAGAACTCCAGAAGGTTCATCACTGCACCTAGACACACGACAGGCAAAAGGGGAAAGTGCAGGGACCTGTGCAGGACCATCTCCCAGAAGGGGTTCTTAGAAGGGGTTCCCAAAAAAAGCGCAATATGGTCACCTCTCCTGTGCACCTACCTGCTGGAAGAGGCTGATTCTGGGCATAGAGACCCACTGGTGATTGCCCGTATGCCAACCTCGACATAGTGCTTCCTGACTGGTGATGCAAGAGATCTGTAGGCATACCAACCCCATAGGAAACCCCTCGGCTAGGGCCCAACACGAAATCCTGCAAAGACAAAGGAGAAGTAAGAAAATTCAACTGAGAATTGACGAATGGATGAAGAGCACTGAAATGGTTGCAAAGTCCAAAGGAGGAGGCCTAGAATGCTATCTAAGCTGGGCACCCCCTTTCCCTCCCATCAGGGATTAAGAAAATGCCCTCCTTTCCCTCCCATCAGGGATTAAGAAAATGTTTGCCTCGCCTCAGGCTAGAGAGCAGGACAGAGCTCCAGCACTCCCAGCTGGGAGGAAACACAGAATCACAGAATTGTCTGGGTTGGAAGGGACCTTTAAGATCATTGAGTCCAACCACCAACCTAACTCTGATAAAAAACCATCACTAACCCATGTCTCTAAGCACTATGTCAACCCATCTTTTAAATACCTCCAAGGATGGTGCCTCAACCACTTCCCTGGGCAGCCCATTCCAAGGCTTCATAACTCTTCCAGTGTAAGAATTTTTCCTAATATCCATTCTGAACTTGTGTTTCAGTCTGCAAGTGGAATGAGAGTAGGTTTCCACTTCTTTGGATTTTTTTTAGGATTAAAAAACTGCATTTCCTACCATGATGAGTTAAAATATTTCAATGGTTTTGGACTTTCTATGAATGAGAAAGTAATATCAGAGCTGCAAAAATGTGCAAACTAGCTCTTAGTTTTGGGGAGTCAAAAATACAGCCAGAGGCTGTGTGTTCAATGGCACACATCCCATCTGCACCATCACACCGCTCAGCGACCCCTCAGAAGACTCAAAGGAGTGCTCTGTGACAAGGAGGGGTGGATACAGGAGGTCCATAGCTGTGGGGCAGTCAGTTACCTCAGTTTTGCTGGCAGATTGGTTGCGTTTCTTGGTTTTGCTCTGTTTCTTCTTGCGTTCTTCAGTAGAAGTGGCAGGATTGGAGCTTGTTTTATCAGCCTTCGCTGGCTCTGCAGCTTTCTTCTCTGGCTCTAAAGCCACAGGCGTAGGAGGCTCTTCCTCTTCAGGGGGCAGAGGCAACGGCTCCAGGTAGTAACTGCGGGGCTTGGGTTTCAAGTGCGTGTGGTACAGAAGAAGCCTCTGCTGCTCCTCAAACCTAGACACCTTGCGATCCACCCGGACCGTCCCAAACCACCCCCAGGAGAGCGGGGCCGAGTGCTTTAAGCCCTCAAACAGATCCCAAGGGGAAATCTTCTGCTTTGTAGAGACTTGCAAACCCTTTAAAGCAAAAGAAATAAGAACCTCTAAGTCCCTGTTGTTTCTCCCACAAGGGCACAGGGAACTCTATGCTTTCTTCAGGCTCTATACCATGAATTCCAGAAAATAGCCTAAGCCCTTAGGAGCAGTCCCTGCTTTTCCACGTGGCAAAACAGTCATTTCTAAAGGCCTCCATCCACAACTGCCAGTCTCCTTCAACCCATCTCTGCCAGTCTTCTGCACACTAGCACTGCCCAGTAACTCGTGTGACAGGGATTATAGCTTTCTCTTTATGCTTTATATAGCCATAAGTACAAAACCAAAGTTTAAATAACTTCTTGGGCCACAGCAGCACGTGTCACCGAGATGAACGCACAGCTTTGCCCCTTTTTGGCCACGGTTACGTGCCAGCTTGTCTGCATGCAGCCAGCCACTTCAAGCTCAGCAGGCAACAGAGTGCTGCATAGAGATGCCTCCCAAGCTGTGTAGACTCAAGGCATCAGAGGACAAGGTGACACCTGCACTCGGGAGCTGCGACGCAGACTAAAAATCTCCACTTACCTCCTTCTTGAAGATGGAGTCAAATCCAGCTATTTTATTGCCTTTGGTGTCAATAAGGGATCCCTGAGGTTCACAGGTGATGACATCTCGGGTCTGCTTGGGAAGTGGCAGTAGCTGTCGCACCTTCTCCAGGCTGTCAGATTGCCGGTCCCCCAGCTCTTTCTGCACCAGTGAAACAGAGAAGACTTATAGAATCATAGAATGGTCCAGGCCGGAAGGGACCTCCAAAGGCCATCTAGTCCGACCCCCCCGCAGTCAGCAGGGACACCCCCAACTAGACCAGGTTGCCCAGGGCCTCGTCAAGCCTCTCCTTGAATATCTCCAGGGATGGGGCCTCAACCACCTCCCTGGGCAACCTGTTCCAGTGCTCCACCACCCTCACAGTGAAGAACCCTCTCCTCATCTCCAGTCTAAATCTGTTCCCCTCCAGCTTGAAGCCATTGCCCCTCGTCCTGTCACTGCAGGCCTTTCTAAACAGGCTCTCCCCAGCCTTCCTGTAGGCTCCTTTCAGGTACTGGAAGGCTGCTATTAGGTCTCCCTGGAGCCTCCTCTTCTCCAGGCTGAACAACCCCAGCTCCCTCAGCCTGTCAAAGCCTGACTTAAAGAATCACTCAGGAAAAAAATCATCCAAAGCCCACCTGTGCCTCTTCTGGTGTCAACCTTCACCCTTGAGTTACCTTTGCTCCCTTCAGCCCTACAGAGCCTTTGGGGCCACCCTCACTGCTTCATCTGAACAGCAGCAACAGGACAAGTACCATTCAGGACACCCAGGTAAATCTGCCCAGCTGGACAGCCACAGCACAGCACACCCCACTCTCCATACCCCACCTGCTGTCCCTCACCCTGAGTTTCTTGACAAGATTCATGTAGGCCCGCTTGTTCTCCTCCATGCTGCCCTGAGAAATGCTGGACATATCAGCAGCCAGGGTGCCGTTGATGAGAACGCTCAGCATGTCCAACACGGTGGTGAAGAGCTCACTGTTGGTCAAAGCAGAAAGGTCAAAGTCACCCAAGAAGCAGACACAAAGCTTCTGCCATCATAGTAACACCAAACATGATTAGATTGCCAAGAATACTGCCTACAGGCAGCAGTCCAAGCGCTCTGCAGACTAACCTCCCACACTAACCCTCCTTTTGCTTACACACCGCAGGACCCGAGTCAAGCGCAGCATCGCACTCAACACAGCCTCCTGTCTACCCATTCAGCTTCTCCAAAAAGCAGGTCCACACCCAGCTCTCCCCTGCTTATCTCTCTGCATCTGGAAAGCCAAGTTTGATCTGGATATGTCAGAGTGCACTTGGATGCTAGGATCTAGGCTGTAGCCTGCTATTACTCCGAAGTCTCTTTCGACTGTCAGAGTACTTCTGACAGGTTGTCTGGAGAGACAGCTAGCTCTCTCTAGAGAAGAGGAGCCATGCTAAGGACTGCCTCCCTTGGGAAGTGTATGGATCAGAAGTCAGCCACAAAGTTACTTGTTTGACTGCATGTCCACGGTGCCACTGCTGATGATGTCCAGGAGAAGGACAGCCCACTCAGTTGTCTGCTGTGTACTGCGTTGAACTGTGTCAAACATTCCCCCCACCTGGCAGAGAAAAGTAGTTTATTCACAAGGACACCATGAAGAAACACTAAGATTTCAAAGTGAGAAAGAAGCCTAAACCACAGCAACTCCTACTGAGAGCTGAAGGATACTGCAGTCAGCAGGACAAACCTCAGATGCAAGTAGCAGCGCTGTGGACTGCAAAAGCATTGAAATGGGAAGGCATGTCTCCAAAACAGAGACCAAGGCTGTGGATTTCATCCTGGCCAAACAGAGCAAGGGAGTTTTTCCATGCACCCTATCCCACTCAGGGACCAAGACCTAGAAGCAGCACAAGTGCCTCTCTTACTTCCTTGCCTCAGGACACATACAGTCCCTCCAGTGTGTGTGTGTGTGTTCAAAAAAAGGAAAACAGCCAGACAACTCTTCACCCCATATGGTTAAGCTCTTTTCCTGCAACTGCTCACCAAATTCAGCCGTAGTTTCAGGGCCTCATGCATCAGCTGCTTGGCTTTGCAGTCATCCTGGTACTGATCTTCCCGCCAATTCGTAACAATCTAAGAAATTCAGAAGAGAGGAGAGACCTCACAAGCTATACATTGAGGTTTATCAAGAGCAGCTGGTACTGCCTTTATCCACTGACTCGGACATGGTCAGCTCAAGTACCCTATACAGAATCTTCAAGGTTGGAAGGGACCTTAAAGATCATCTTGTCCAACCGTCAACCTAACTGACAAAAATAGACACCCACACAACAAACAAGGAGCATCATCACTAAACCAGACCTCCCAGCACTACATCAACCCGGCTTTTGAACACCTCCAGGGATGGGGCCTCAACCACCTCCCTGGGTAGCCCATTCCAATGGCTGAGAACCCTTTCAGTGAAAAAAATTTTCCTAATATCCAGCCTGAACCTCCCCTGGTGCAACTTGAGGCCATTTCCTCTTGTCCTGTCGCCTGTGACTTGAGA